AAACACATTTTCTTAAATCATACTTAATCTCCAATATCAAGTTCATAAATCCACTTAACATAATACAGTTATCTTGTGCATAGATATGCAATAATCACTTCTACAAAGTCTCAACAGTTAGAGCATTTTTCAGTGGTCTGAGTGCAAGTCTTTTCTAAACTTAAGACAAACTTAGCTATGAAGCTCTGTAAAGATAAAAACTAGATTATATAATTCCAAGGTACATTGGTACAGGGTAAACATTCCCATTGCAGAAGGGAGGTCTAAAGGGATAGAAAAGAACTCTACTAAAACAAGGTCAAAACTCATCAGGGTAAACATTTTTTCCTGCAGCTCTGTATCTGACATCCTGGGCACTTGGTGGTAAATGTGCATTTCAAAAGGCTGGAGTCATTCCACTAGGAGCAGCGCACACAGCCTCTCGGGCTGGTCCCACTCATGGCCTGCCACTTCCAGCTTCTTGGCATTTCCAACTTCCTTGCATTCTATTGTACCTTTGACTTCATTCCCACAACGTTTTGTGCTTAATGATTCCTTCAGTCCTTTGAAATCTGCATAGAAACCTTTCCCTCTCCTCATAACTCTTGCATTTTGCATTACTTTTTTTTGGGGGGGGGGTGGAGAGCTACTGGGAATCGAACTCAGGACCTTGTGCTTGCCAGGCAGGCACTTATGCCACTGAGTTATCTCTCTGGTCCACATTTTGCAGTCTTATAAAACCAGCATCATGTGAATGATGCCAGGCTGTGCTATCAGCAGAAACAGTAGCAAGGGCTCCTGAGATAGTGGTTGCAGTGGCTTCTGAGTGCCAGGCTGAGCACAGTGACGTGAATCCCAGGAGGCCTTTCTCAAACAAAAGTTGCAAGGACTCTTCTCAAGTGAAAAGTTGACATTTTGAAAACTTTGAGACTGCAGTCAATGAAGTTCTCACATTATTTTTATCTGCCTTTTGCACCCAATTCTTACTATACATCTGGCTAAAAGCAGTCAGCAGTACACATGCCACAGTATGAATGTTGAACTGTTTTGAAATTTCGTCTGTCAGATTTATTAGCCCACCACACTTAATCTTAGTTTTTTGCAAAATTTCAAGTCTTGGGCAAAATATAGGTAGATAGCCTCTATTCCAGCTGCCACTGGAGTCCTTGTTCTCAACATAAGCCTCCCTAGCCCAGCCTCTACTGTCCACATTTCTGTCAGTGTGCTGGTCTTCTAAACGCTGACTGGATTCACCATCAGGCTGTGCTTATTTGCATTCTAAAGTTTCTCTAGCCAACATCTCCACACTTTCCAAGCTGTTCCAGCAAGCCAGTTCCAAAGCCTTCTAAACCACATACGTAGTCAGTGTAGTCACAGCAACATGCCACACCTACTATCTATTTTATGTATTAGTTAGCTTTCTTGCTGAGAAACAGTATCCAGTGCTTAGAACTTAAGGGGAAGGGAGGGCTTACTTTAATAACAGTTTTCACTCCATGGTTGGCAGAGAAAACCTTCATTGCAGAAGGACATGGTGGAGCAAGGCTGGTGGTGGTGGCCGGGAAGCAGAGCAGAGGAGCAGTGCCAGAAGAACGGGCAGGGAACCATATATGTCACCCATGGGCGCTCCTCCATGCCCCACCTAGACACATCTAGGGACCTGCTTTCTAATCTGCTAGATGTTTCTTAATCTAGTTAAAGTTGACGTATCGGGGCTAGTGGATGTAATCTATAATTTGCTGCTCCAGACTTGAGGTTTTTCATGGCACTACCTTTTTGACTTGGTGGTAATTGTTAGTGGCTAAAAATTTTTTGAAGATAGGTAATCCCATAACTTGGGCAGTGGAGACAGGAGCACCACAAGTTCAGCGCCAGCCTGGACTACATATCAAGGCCTTGCCTCAAAAATAAATTGACAGAGGCTCATTTTATTAAATTTGGGGAATAGCGAATGTGATCTTAAGTAATACACGTATATCCCAAGCCTCTAACAACTGCAGCTGTCCTCAGTTCTGCATTTTGTAAGTTTCTGTGCTAGGAAACTGCTTTCCCTTAATTGTCCCCAGGGCACCAGGCTATTTTGTGGTCGGAACCTCCAAGGCGACAGCCCTTTACCATGGTCTTTTCAGTCAGAGACTTTTCCCATCGCGGTCCTTATCTTGGCTCTTAATTGGTACCTCCTCTTAGATCCCACCTCCTGAGGAGAGCTACAGTCACTTGTGCATTACAGGGAATACCACTCAGTGCCAGGCACCTCGGTAGGCCTCTTAGGATACTTATTCCTCACAGCAGCTTTGTGAGTCTTCAGTCAGCTGGGACTCCTGATGCCTCCTTTCTGCAAATTTACTCTGCCCATTGTACAGAGTTTGTGTAATGGAAACGAATAGTAATTTGGAATGTCATTAAAACATTTTACATAGGTAGACGCTTTGTTCAAACACGTAGTTAACCAGAATAGTTATGGTGTGGTTCAGAAGCACTTAGCATTTGCACTTAAGGGAGAACAAGAGCTTGCTTGAGGTGTGGATTCAGTCATTGAAATGAGCCTTTTAATGTTAGGGAATCCACCTTAAAACATTTTGTGTATTTGTTTCAGAGACTGTGGAAAAGAAACACATGCAATAACATTAAAAATGTTCCCTAAAGTGAATATTACAGTGGTCTACTTTAACGCAGAGGTAGAAAAGCAAGCTGGATTTTATTTTCAAGTGCTAGACACTGGAATATGGTGTAGTCCATTGCTATTTGTTGAAACTAGGGTGTTTAGGGCTGGTAGGGCTGGTGAGATTGCTCCGTGGTCTAAAGCGCCTGCTTAGGCAAGCTTATGCACAGGGGACCGGGGTTCAACCCTGGCCCCACATGTTGTGCCAGCCCTGCCCTCAGGGCGGGCTAAGCCTGCAAAAATAAATAAATAAATAAATAAATAAATAAATAAATAAATAAAAAGAAACTAGGGTGTTGAGAGTAAAAGCAATCAAGAAACTGCGTTAACAGCTGGACCTGCTGGGGCACTCTCATCATCCCAACACTTGGACACTGAGGCAGGAGTATTGTGAGTTTGAGGCCAGCTTGGGCAACTTAGTGACTTACTGAGACCCTCAAAATAAAAAACAAAAAAACAGCTGGGAACATAGCTCAGCGTGAAGGCCCTGTTCAATCCGTCATACTGCAAACAAACATGACCATATATGCAAAACATGCATTAACATTAAAATCCTTGTTACAGTATTTAATTTTATTTTCTGTTCTTAATGCTTTAGACCTACTGAGCCCAGGGGTAGCGGTTTTATCAGTTTTAATCCTATTGGCTGGTCTGTATTTTTTTTTTTAATTTTTTTTTTTATTTTAACATTTATTGTATGTGTGTGTGTGGTGTGTGTGTGTGTGTGTGTGTCCAGCTCAGCCCACCAGGGGGCGCGGCTGGCTGGCATGTGGTGCTGGAGGATTGAACCGCGGTCCCTGTGCTTTGCCAAGCTTGTTCCAAGTAGGTGCTTTAGACCACTGAGCCATCCCGCCCAGCCCCGTGTATTTTTTTTTTTTTAATTTTATTTATTTATTTGTGTGTGTGTGTGGCTAGCTCAGCCCACCAGGGGGCAGGGCTGTCTGGCATGTGGTGCTGGGGGATTGAACCGCGGTCCCTGTGTTTGTTAAGCTTGTTCTAAGTAGGTGCTTTAGACCACTGAGCCATCTCACCAGCCCCCTGGTCTGTATTTTTAAAATCTTAAATCTAATGTACTGTTTCTGGCTTTATTCTTTTATTATGTAATTAAAGATAATTTAGTCCCAAGAAAATTATTTATACAAATATATTAATACCATGCTCTGCCACTACTTAGTGTTTTTCAATTCTGATTAATACAAGCTTGCTTTTATTTAATAACACTAAAATGAAAGTCCAAGTTATTAACCAACTATATTCTTTTTCCTCAAAAAATTGGTTTTAATATAATAAGCACTTTTACTTGGGTATAATCTCATTACATTAATTTGGATGCAGCGTAAGTTAGATTTAGATTCCATGAGAGCAAAAACTATTTTTGCCATCCTTGAATGAGTTCATTCATGTGCCTTGTACATCTTAAATTGTTAATAAATGTGTGTTAGATGTGTATTATCACATGCTTATTTGTATTATGCAGTAAAATCTTGCTTTGCAAGCACAGTTTGTTCCAGAAATGTGCTCGTGATCCAAAGCACTTGTATATCAAAGCGAATTTCCCCATAAAGTAACGGAAGCTGAGGTGATTTGTTCCATAACCCAAATAAATTTATATAAAAGTGATTTACAATACTGTAACATAATACAAAAATAAATAATATAAAATATATGAAGCAAAATAGACAAATTACCTACACATACATTTCAAAAACTTTGCGGCCCTGTGAGGGAAATGAGAGAGGAAGATTATTCTGTAGAATGGCTTGGCTGTCACTGAGGGAATCACTGCAACCTGTTGGCTCAAGGGAATCTTTCTTTTTGTTGAACTTCAACAAAGAATCTATTCAATGACACTCCTTTGCCTCCTGTTGAAGATTTTAGGGGAAATATGACATTGTACTGTCCTTAAACAGGTTCATCTCTTGCACTGCTACAGCCTTCTTGAAGTGGTACTGTTCTGCACAGTTTTGCATCATTTCCCACATTTTACACATCTCCCTAATCTCATTTGAAGTGAGAGATTCCTCCTCCTTTTTTCTCTTCTTCCCTTCAGATGAGATCTCCATAATGTCAGTTGAGGTTACCCATAATAAGAGGGAGAGGGAGAGGGAGAAGAAGAGGGAGAGGGAGAACCATTGTGATCACATGACATTGAATATCACGTACCACTCATATTGCAAGACACTGCTCATTTATCGAGTTAAAATTTATTAGAAATGCTTGCTCATCCTGCGGAACACTCATGGAACAAGTTGCAACCCAAGATTTTGCTGCATATAGTTTTGTCACATCCTTCCCATTAACTGTAATATTCTGAATTGATAACAGTGTATGTAATTTTTTTTTTTTTGTCTTTCTTTAGGTTGGTATTTTGTATGGCATCTATTTTTATCTAAATTCAAGTTTCTGCGGGAACTAGTGGGAGACACGGGATCCCAGGAGGGCGACCATGAGCCTTCAGGATCTGAAACTGAAGAAGACAGTTCATCCTCTCCGCACAAGATGAGATCCGCTCGCCACAGGAGGGCACCTGCCGATGAAGGCCACTGATGCCAGACGTGGTTCTTTATCAGTGCACAATGAAAGGCAATGATGAATCTGTCTTTAGCAACTTCACTTTGAAACTTGCTAAATGACAGAAGAACATTTATACTTGGATTTTATATCCATTTCCAAATAAATAAATAAATAAATAAATAAATAAATAAATAGTTTTACATGTAAGCCATACAGAAATAAAGGGAATTGAAACCAAATTGGGCCATAAAAATGTCATCTTAAAGGTAATATTTTGCTTCATTAGCTCTGCTTAGCATAGTCCTTGGTTCTTGGGCATTTTTTGCACTGGTGTGAATGTGACCGAATTTTCAGGCTTGAGAAAACATGATTTTTTTTGTTGTTGTAAATGTACTCTTTACATTTTAATGTGTGTGAAATTTGAATGCACCTCGTTTCAGTCACCAGGCGGCAGTCATGCAGTTACCCTAGTACATGTGAGTTTTCAGCTTGTCACACTGTCATTGCCTTCACTGAAGTGTGTGTGGTTGGCGTCAAGTGTCAGGCTTAAGGAGTGTGCTAAAATGTCTTCACAAACGTTATGCTGACTCAGCGTTGAAACAGAAGTTTAGCATGTATGCAGAAAAGCATGGAAACAGCCGCGGGATATACATTTGATGTAAATGAAGCAAATATTCATCATTGGAGGAATGATTGAAATTCAATGTTTTCTTGCAAAACAACCACAAAATACAGAACCTAAAGATACCCACAAGTAGATGCAGCTGTACTACGCCTTGCCAGAGAGGCACGTGCAAAAGAATTGCCTGTCACGTGCCAGAAGAAATTGCCAAAACCCTTGGAATTGATGACAAAATGTCAGAGGAACAAGAGGCTAGTGTGACCGGCTCGTGCATCAAACAGGACTATCGGTAGGACGCCAAGTATTGTCTTCCCAAAGCTTCCCACTGACGGTAAGCAGAAGGCAGCCAAGGCGCGCTCTTTGAAGAGCACTGCACTCCATCATCACCATCATTCGTGACGATACCCAGGGCTGTGCTGTGTGGGAAATGCAGACACGAGGAGTGTCACAGGAGTTGGACTTGGGATGTGAAGTTTTAGTTATGACTTAACCAGTTTATTTCACACATTTTCAATATATCCACAAGGTATATTTAATTTAAAAGCACTATTACAATAAATACAAAATAAGCATTTTCTGAGAGACAAGGCTTTGTGTCATAGTATAACAGACAGTAGTTTTTCTTGGTGGTACATGTGGTGCATCAGCTGATGGTATCTTAGATAACAGTCATTGTAAATTTGTTTTTCTTTCCCAGATAGTACTTACTTAATAGGGATTTAATTCTGACTTATAAATTAAAATTGTCATCTTCCATGACATGGATTTTGGTTTAATCTATTCAAAAATCTAGAGTAGTATGTTAGGAATCTTAAGAACCATCTTCTATTTCAGGAAGACTAGGATCAGTCACTCCTTTTATATAGGAGGATTTTATGCTCAAAGCATGTGTTGTGGAGAGAATGCTTCTCCACAGGCAGTTCAGTGACAAGACCTCAAAGGTGCTGGGTATCGAAAAAGTGCTGCTGAAACTACCTGTTGAGTTATGAAGCGGCTTCCCAGGTTTCTGTTCACTGAACTTAGGAATGAGCATTGGTGTGAAAGAGAGAGGAATGGAAGAACTTTGCTGATTAGTGGTCCCTGCTGTGTACAGGAATGAAATGCAGAGCCAACTTACTTTATGAATCTATGTTCTTTCTATGTTTAGACTTTTTCTCAAGAACTAGTCATCCCCTGTGTTTCATGGTGGTATTTAAATGTTTGATACCTCATTCTTCACGCTGACAATTTTGCTTATTAACAGCTCACTGGCTCTTCCCCAAAGTTGTATTCCTCATGAACACCTCTTCGCTGATACTGTACTAGAAGGGAATTCACAGAGCATAAGTGTAGTTTTTATACAGTTGTTGAGGGAAGCTTCCCAGCAGCTGAGAATGGGGCCAATCATTCCGTCTTCATTTCTGTACTGGTTATAATGTGACTGATGAGCATTAGCTCTAATGTTTCATGTTTTGGTAGTGCTAAATAGCACATTGACAGTCATCTTGGGAGTGAGAGGATATTGAAATTAGATTTTTCAGCCTGATGTGTTGAGCTCTGGATTTTGTTTTATGGTGGATGTCCAAGGTATCAATAACAATCATTGCTGGAAAACTTCAGCTGTCGAGCTTCCTGCTATGTCCGTGTTGCAGAGTGAAGGCTGATGTGGCCCTTGTCCCTCAGCTCTGTAGTTGTGCCCAGGGTACTCCAAGTTAATCCTTGGAAAGCTGTGGAGGTTGGGCATTATTTATTTATGTTTCAAGCATGTCTTGTTTTATAGACTTTTAACAAATGTTCTCCTTAACTTACTTGAAATATACACCTAAAAGCATATTAATAGCTCATCCTTCTTGGGGAGAGTAAAAACAAATGACTTAATGCCAATATGAGTAGTCTATAGATAAATCTTTTATTTCAGCCTTTTCGTGTGCCTGACCTCCTGTAGTGTGTATGTCTAAGGTCAATATGAGAGGGAAGAGAAATAGTTATTGCAGAATTAGTTATGTTATGTGATACGGTTTTTCCATCCTTTTTCCTGTTTTAGTGCTTTTGTAGCTGAACTTACCAGAATGACATTACAATAGCGTATCTTATCCAGTCTCAGTGGAAGGCGGCCTAGCCTGTGGTTTCTGTTAACATTTAAAAAGTTATGAGCATTAAAAATCATAAATATTAGAATCTTGCCTGAACTATTCCCCAAAATGGTGGTGCTCAAATAGGCCATCCTTTTGAGGATTAATTGTAGAATTGAGGACTCATGTAGATCGTCTCTTTTCTTGCTCATCCAACTATTCCCAAATCTTTTGACCCTGCCTGTATGGTAGCACTATTCAGATTTTAATGCAAAAAACACTAAATATTTGTGTAGCACATTTAAATGAGGTTTTGAATAGTCACATCAAATTAAATATAGAACTCGCTTAATGGATAGTCATAGTGAAATAAATATGTGGTAGACAGCTGCTTCACAGACATGCTAACCCCTCTCTTTTTAGGTATTATTAAGTTTAAGAATCATTACAAATTATTTGCTGAAAGTTTAGAACATATAAGGTAGTGAATTCACAAAATCTGTCATCTTAAAACATGTTGAAAGATTTTAAAGTAGTGCATTTTTCTGCCTAACAGTAACAGTTTCTGAAGTTACATATACATCATCGATGCAATCTTTTTTAAAGTCAGTTTTTCTTAAAAGGTATATTTTGTGTAACATGTCATCAGTTAACTAGATTTTGCCTGGTAAACTAAGTGCTTTTATATTCGAAGTTGACTTTGAAAAGCCAGTGAGCAGCCTTCAAAGTTTATAGTCTCTCAGGCGACTAACAGGATAGTATTCAGTTATGGAATCTAGCATTAAGGCACTTTGTATTGTCTGGTTTTAAAGTATCCCAGAGTTTTAAAGCATAAAAAGTAACATTTGATCTTATATTAAAGTTACGTTTTCCATTTGTCTGTACTGTTTTATGAGGAATGTTTAATGTGCGCCTCCAACTCAGTTCTATGCATAACCAGTTACCAAATACTGCTGGTGTGGTTTCTTGAAGGAAGCCTTCTGTGCTGTGCTATGATGCAGGATCATCTTGCTGCTTGACAACTAGGTTTGTAAGGAACTAGAACTGTGTGTGTTAACAGTATCTTTGTAGAACAAGATGTAAAATTAAAAGTGAGGAATGTGTGTGAATGATCACTTCAGTGTTTTTAAAATTGGTCAGTACTATATCTAAAGCTGTGGTTTGTATGTTTTAACTTTCATGGCACAGAATAAATTAAAATGAAAACAAACAAGTTGTATGTGTCTCATTGCTAAAGAATAAGGATGAAGAGCACTTCGGGCCTGAAGGAATTTTGAAAATATACTTTGACTTAGGGTCTGCGTTTCACCTCGCAAGAATTGAGACGTAGCTATATTTACCAATTTAAACCTTTTTGCTGTCTCATTCTGGATCCCCTCAGTCAGTTCACTGCGTATCATGTTATTTAAACAACGGGAAGATTGATGAACCAGACACGAGGCCAAATAAAGTTTGAGGAATGTGTTTGAGAACACACTCCACTTAGGAAACCATGAATATCAGTTTTGGGACCCAAGTTGTGATTTTTCTTCAGCATTGCTCATCTGCCAAAAAATACAGGAAAGAGTGAATTTTATTAGGGTCTGAGTTTGAAAAGCAGGCACGATTATGAGCAGGGATAGAAAGGCTCCCGGCAGAGGAGAGGACAATTTCAGAAGAATAAGCACGTGCTAAGGCAGAGTCATGGAATGCACCTTATGTGGACACCCGCCATGTTTTCCCCAAAATAAGATCTAACTGGGAAACAAACAGTATTCAAAACTAGAGGTCAGAAATCCAAGCCCCAGCCAGCCTCTCAGCGTCTACCTGCCATCACTGTTCTCTTGCCCATGGCTACTCTAAGGCTGGTGACATAGGCATAGGCTACTTGGGGCTGGCCTTTTTGGAGAGGGGCTGCATGTTTGACCTCCAGTTCTCAAGGCTTTTTTCCAGCTAGCTCTTAATTTCAGGGCAAGAGGTGTTCATTTGGTAATTACTGGAATAGAAAGTGCAAATGGAGATGCTGGCTTGCAGCTAGAGCTACATAAAAGATACAGGTCCCCAAAGACTTTGTATTCAAGGCATATGTGATCCCAAGTATTGAAATAATTGCAGAGCATGGATTCACTTGTTTTAACATTTATGGAGTGACTGCTGTTGCAGGAACTGGGTGTAGATGGCTTACCCCGCCCCTGACACTGGCAGTGAGGATGGATTAGAGGTGCAGTGGAACCAAGTGCCTCTTAATTGGCCCAAGCAATAAACCAGAAAACTACTGGCCAAGTGGAAAGGCATGATAACTGCAAGAAGCTTGAAGATTATTGTGATTGGGTTGTGAAGAAGAATAAATGATTATAAATGATTATTTTGATGTTTAAGTTGGCGATTAAGTATAGTGATGTGTATAGAAATAGGTTGGGAATTGGGCCTAGGGGGAATGGAAGATGGGAGAGTTCAGTTTGGAGCACAGTTTTGAGGACCTCCTTGAACTAGTAGGAGAGACATAAACTGAAAACCTAGAACCAGCATTTATGAACATGTATGTCTATACAGTTGACATAATAGGCAAAAGTAGGATGCAGAGGTGGCAGATTGTGCTACGGCTTGAAAAAAATTTGGTCATTTTGAGATGGGGTCTCACTGTGCAGTTCAGGTAGGACTTGAACTCAGTGAACCTCCTTCATCAGCCTCCTCAGTGCTGGGATTACAGACACTTGCCACCACGCCCAGCCACTGGCTTGAACATGTTTGTACCCTCCAGAATTCATGCATTATGCACTTAATCTCCTATGTGACAGTTTTAGTAATGGGGCATCAGTAACTGTCCTGATGAATGATTTAGGCCTACAGAAGTGGGTTGGCTTTCTTTTTGTGCTCCTGTGTCCTGGAGACAGTGAGCAGGCACCATCTTGGAACCAAACATGCAGTCTGCCATTGTCGTGGTCTTTTCAAGATCCAAAACCAAGAGAACCAAACTTAATTATGAGTGACCCGGCTGTAAGTATTCTGTTACAACAACACAGACCAGATTAAGATAGACACCTAAATAAGAATCAGTATGTAAGAGACTGGTAAATTATCCTCTAAGTCTAAATACAACAGGTAAGAAGAGCAGGAATACGCCAACAGAAGAAGGCTGTGCTAGGAGCACAGTGAAGAAAGAACTTAGAGCAAGTGTTCAATAAAGTGCTCAATAATTAACTGTTCAAGTTAGGGTTAATGGGAAGTGATGGAGGCGGTGCAAAGGATGGTGCATGTCTGTAAAGCTGGCGGTAGGAGGGACGAAAGACTTCACAGGAGTGGAGTTGGCAGCTTGTTTCCTAGTTAGATGGGAGGAGCAGGACAGAATGAGGATGAACTGGCGTGGGTCATGGAGGGTACTTGGGCCACGCACTGGAAGAGACCATTTGGAGTTAAGCCTAGGGGTGTGAAGGGCAGTGGGAATGGTCAACCTGGGCCTACTGTCTGCTAAATGGGAATGATAATACCTATATTATAGTACTGATTTTTAAAAACTACCCATTAAGCATGTGAACCTAGAATAAACAACCAGTAATGTAGCCACTATCTTCCTTATTTACCTTTGTAGCTAGATGCAGAACCCTCATCCCCTTTTTCTCAGTACTGGAGACCAAACTCAGAGCCTTCACACTGAGCTACATCCATTCTTGACCCTTTTAAAAAATATTTGCATTTTGAGACGGTCTCACTCAAAGTTGCCCAGGTTGGGCTTGAACTTTGGATTCTTTTGCCTTAGCTCCTTCAGTGCTGGGATTACATACAGGTGCTGCCACAGCCAGCTGTGGAAGTCTGGGTGGCAATGTGATCCAGGAATTGCTCAGTTCATTGGAAAAATGCAGCTGTTTACCCTACTTTTTGGGGGAGGGGAGAAGGAGAGGGTCTATAGGGTGTTCAGGGTCTCACTACTAGATCGGACTTGTAGTGATCAACCTGTTTACAGCCCTCTAAGAGCTGGGATTGCAGGTGCACGCCACTATGCCCAGTCTCAATTGCTGTCTCAACGTGCCCCAGGAGCGGGGCCTGCACAGCAGGCCTGGGAATCAAACCCCCAGCCCCTGTGCCTGTTTGCAGGCACTTTAATCTGCTGAGCTATTTGGCTGGCCCACACCCTACTATTTCGAGGTAAGGCCAAGGCTGTTTTTCAGTGAACATAAAGCCCTGAGAGCTGCATGTTTTTCTTTACAAAAGCTAGACTTAATTCTATGATGACTAATGGTTTTGTTCTTTCAAAGTTAGAACAAGAACAGAACATTGTAGAGCAAAAATGTTTACTATGTCATCTCGGGGCTATAGTTCCATTTACAAGACCATTAATATAATACTATGCATTACTATGGAAACAACAGTATGGGTGCTTGTAGTTAGGAACTGGAAAATACCTGTATTTTATAGTCACTTTGCTGTACTGAGGTGGGCAGGATCTTTTTATCTTTGATCATTTTACCCAAAATATTCAGCTAAGCATTCATAGAAACTGTGACTCTCTTTTTCATTGTAATACTTAATTATGTAATTATAGTATCAGCTAATTAGAACAAGTGTGGCACCACATTCTATTAAACATGGAAGTCATTTGGTGAGACCTGAGCTATGTGAACATACAGGACATGGCCATGTGTGACCCAGCACCCCATTGTGACAGGGACTGACAATCCCAACAGCCCAGAATCCTCTTATCCTGCTACAAATGCTCACACCTATTGGCACGCTCCTTCCCAAAAGCCTGTCTGGTATGAATCTCTCCTGCATGCTGGGTTCCACTTCATCCTACCTTTTCAGCAAATGGACACCATCAGCGATTTCTCCTGTATGCCAAGTCACTCCCTGTGAGCTGAACTGTTCCCCCTCAGCTCTTAAATGTACTCATCGGACGTATCTTTAAAGAATGAAGGAGGGGCTGGTGAGATGGCTTGGGGGGCTGGTGAGATGGCTTGGTGGTCTAAAGCACCTACTTAGAACAAACTAAGCTAAGCAAAACACAGGGACCGCGGTTCAA